CTCTTGATCTAGTCTATAACACACTAATACGAAGAAACAAAAAGCATGCTGACTCACACATAAGACACATACAGACAAACACACACACACACACACACACACACACACACACACACATACACAGACGCGCCTCGCTCACAAACACATACAACAGTGTTTTCTCCTCCTAAGCAGAACAAATTCCTACTTAATCGCACATTTACCCCCCCCCCCACCCCCCCACCCTTGTAGTCTTGAACGTCTTAATCTCTCCCTTTTGTTTTTACTAGCTACAACATCCCTACTCTTTTCACGTGTACACGTTTTTCCTCCTTATTTTCAAATTAATACGCGTTACTAAGGCAACGTGCCTGTTTCTAAAACGTTCGTTTGTCTTCTTTTCCAGAGATTAATGGGGGGGAGGGGGCGCTTGATTCCCTACACGTTTACTCTGCCAGTGGTGTGACGATATGCCAATTGCATTTATGAAAGGAAATCAATTAGTGTATGAAATGCGTTTGATTGCATTTCGTTTTATACGGCGCTGAATCCAAATATTCCACCCTATTGAGGAATTTCGAGATCTGAAGTTAAGGACCTGGACACTTAAAATGATTGTAACGATGTTTTCCTTCTTATTAAAAATTTCCCTTTCAATGTTAATCTTTGCAAACGCGTCCTCAATATGTGTGTTTGAAATAAATAACAGACTAAACCATTAAATGTAGCGGTCTTGTGGAAGATATCAAGTTTTGCCAAGACATCAAGGTAATGGAAATAGGTTTTTATGAAGTAAAACCTTCTTTTTTTAATCTGTTTTGCTTTTGCTGTAGAAATACACATTACTATGCATATCACCATTGTTTTGATACTTGACTTGTGTTGTTGATGTTTATCTCTTTGATTGAGCTTAAGGGAGATGAACGGTGGAGAGAAAAAAAGAGTGAATGTCAAGCGAAAAAAAAGTAAAAGGAGAGAAATGTGGAGTAAACAGGGAGATAAGAGTGGAAGAGAGAGAGAGAGAGAGAGAGAGAGAGAGAGAGAGAGAGAGAGAGAGAGAGACCACGAGAAAGGAAGCGAGGGGGACAAGGGGGAGGGGGTCAAAAAGAGAGAAAAAAATAAAAAACGAAAGTAAAAGAGAGACAGAGGTAGAGAGAAAGGGAGAGAAGGGGGAGAAGGAGAGAGAGAAAGAGAGATAGGGGGATAGAGAGAGAGAAAGAGAGAGAGAGAGAGAGAGAGAGAGAGAGAGAGAGGGAGAGTGAAAGGGAGAGAAGGGGTGATATCATCATCAATTTCATCACAATAGTAAAAGAAGGAAAAAAGAAAGGAAGACATGTCAGCACTCACTGAAGCCAATCTCAACTTCTGATGTGGTTCTGTTTTTGGTACAGCAGAAACCCTTGTCAGCGAGAAAAGCGACCACAATGAGGACTGGGAACATGAGGAAAGTGACAATGGCCTCCCAGAGCTCCACCTCCTTCGGAGAGATGACCAGGAGGACCAGAATGAGCCACACGTAGGCAAACACGCCCGAGAATGACGTCACGGCAAACACACGCATGTTCTTGATGCGCCTGGGGACGAATTGGAGGGGGGGGCGATATTGTTTATTAACTGAATATATTTGTTTTTAATTGAGACAGACAGACAGACAAACAGACAGACAGACAGACAGACAGACAGACAGACAGACAGACAGACAGACAGACAGACAGACAGACAGACAGACAGACAGAAAGACAGGCAGAGACAGAGAGACAGAGACAGACACGGAGACACAGAGACACAGAGAGGGAGGGGGAGAGAGAGGGAGAGAGAGAGGGAGAGATAGATAGAGAGAGAGAGAGAGAGAGAGAGAGAGAGATATCTCCCAAGCCATACTTTAAGTGCATCACCTATACACTTGTGATCACACTTATGGCGGCCATATTCTTGCACCTTTCTGGGGTTATTTAACGAGTTCTATAAAAATTCCAACCACATATGTCTTCACTAGATGCTTCACGTAACAAATTAAATGGTTTCTAGGTCACAAATCTTAGAGGACAAAAAATGTGGATTTTTGAAAACAGCATTGATTGTTGAAATCGAGGTGCTAGAAGCCATAAGTAATTATTTATTATCGAGCCATTGGCTTAAGGCAAACGAAGTCACTCAGCTCCAGCTATTGACACATTGACATAAGAATACGCATAATCAATTATGCACAGTACACATTCTGGAGGTCAAAATTCGCTCCGGCTCGATGAATGAAGTTTTCCTTTGGGTACATAGCTCATGGCTGTGGCCTCACGCACTTAAAATCGGTGTCCCCAAGCTACCTGTTTGTGTTTTCTCTTTGCTTTTTCTTCAACAATCAGTACACAACTCAATCTTTTACCTAAAGTCAACAAATTCAAGGGGAACCCCTAAACAAAATGAGTTGACCGTTCTTAACAGCTATATTACCTGTATCCAATACAAGAGATTCCAGACTTAAATCCCATGTCGACCATATCGTAATCCCACCCCGTCCCTCACTCACAACCTTTCTCCTACTCACACAATCCCGAATCTCACACCCACCTAACCCTCGACTACAACACCATTTTCGAACCGAGCTTTTTATTAGTAGTCCAAAAAAACATCTGAAGCACCTCGCCAATGCTGTGCGAAAGGAGAACATTCTCTTTCTTGACATGTTCATTCTACCGATGTTCTGCTAACAGCCTTGTAAAAGGGGTTCGTAATTAGTTTGCATTTTTCCAATAACTAAACTGTTGAAAACATCACAACATCACTGTCGTTCTGAAAATTGGAAATCTAAAACATAGCTGTCCAAGGAAAAAGAGCAGAACGAGAAAACCTATAATATAAATCATGTATTTTTATGAGGGCTAATAATAATGCATTGTGCATTATTGCTACTCTCAAACTGAATACAGGGGCCTCTCGTGACCTAGAGGTTAAGGCCTTCTCCTCTCATTCAAAGACCCCGGGTTCGAATCCGGGTAACGACATAAAAATTTTCTTCTTTACAATTGTCTCCGTTCACCTTCTGCCCTTCTCTTTTTCAATATTCTGTCGTCTGTTTTCGTCTCCACTTTCTGCCCCCACCCCCTTTGCCCGCTCCACTGGACTCCTGACTTTATCTGCAGCCTTTCAACTCCTACCCCTTGGCTCCTCGCTGCTATCTTTCAGCCGCACCCCTGATCTTCAGGTAGAAAAGATCAACACCTAGCCTTCTCGGAGTAAGGCGAAAAATCTCGGAGGTACCGTTTGCAAGTTGCAAAATCGATAAAAGTAGGCTTCAGCCGCCACGCGGGCAAAATTCAAAATTTCTTACCAATTGAAAATGTTTCGTGTGTCCCGCGCACTCATATGACATTATGCAGCTGTGAGGACCGTAAAACAATTACCCAAAAAAAACTGAATACATTTTGTATCATTGCTTTTACAAAAGTCTGTGTATTTTGAAGCACGTATGCTATCTGAGTGTGTATTATCAAATTTTGTATCAATGTATTCAGAAACACAGTCACACTAAAACTTATCTCGGTGGAGCGTCACGTAACTCTAGTTTTCTCTGGTCTGGTCTTATGAATCTTAAGGAGATAAATTAAATACTGTGGAGTCCGCATAAACCGAAATCTGCGGGACTGGTAAATCTTCTTCGGTTTAGCCAGGCTTTCTGTTTAGAGAGCTTGCTCAAATAGGCGGGAAAGAAATCATCGGGGATATTATTTACTTTTGGTTTACCCCTGTTTATTGAATTAACCATATTCGGTTTAATGAACTCAACTCTAAGTTCAAAGGCCGTAAAAGGTGGGCAGAAGTGTTCTCACCTGACGTCTCCTTTAGGAATCGAGAGTATACAGATGCCTGTGATGACGAACAAGTTGAAGGCCGCAGAGCCCACGATAGTTCCTGGGCCCAGTTCTCCCGCCACAAAAGTGTGGCCTGTGATCTCGATCACGTTGAGCAAGATTTCTGGCGCGCTGGTCCCAAATGCCAGAAGACTCAGGTTCGCAACCGTATCGTTCCATACCTGAGGAGCAGGAGATGATACATGTATTTGGGATAAGAGACATGTGTTGTTGATTTTAAACAAACAGTGCTCACTGAATAAGTCATTTTGTGACGAGGTACAGGTGACTTGGTACGGAATAGTGCCGCTTTATATGATTTTACATAAAAGCCAGATTGGTTATAGAATAGGACTGAGTCAAGGGAGGGAGGGGGGTTGGAAAATTACATTAGAAAGTATAAAGCTGGCTGCTGGTAATTGGACCAAAGATGGAGCATCACAGCCCAGTGTGAAATTAGCCTAAATAATAGTTGGATACGAATAGTTCGAGCTTCGGTTCGGACACGTATTTTTCCGCCCCCTCCTACCCACCCAGCAGTAATGGGTACCTGACATCGAGTTGGAGAAGAAATGGCGACGTGGAAAGGAACTGGCCACCCTACCACAATATGTCAAAGGCCCAGGAAGTTGTCTCACTAACAAGGTAATCCGCGATGTCTGGATCGGATGCGGAAACAACTTTTAATAGTTGGATGGAAGAGAAGTTTATCCACTTAGATGGCACAACACGACTGCTGAGAATAACAAAGAAACCAAAAAAGCACAAAAAACAAAGGTGACCAATCTATTTGAAAATCCACACGATAATGTTTTAAAGCTTTTATCTGGCTCATTCCTAAGATGGGCTCACGAAAGAAACTACATTGAGCTCTCGGAGTTTAACTTTCTGTTTGATTGATTTTTCTGTCAAACGACTGAAGAAAACATACAAGATATTTTTCATTTTGACAATATACAGAAGGGAAACCGAGAATCTCCTTCCACCCATCCCTCCCCCACCTCCTTCAAAGAAAAAAAAACCAATCACACATACACACACAAATACACAAATACACAAACATACAAACACGCACATACACACACACACATACACACACACACATACTCACACACACACATACTCACACAAACACATGCACACACACACACACA